TACCTCCTCTGTGTCAAAGTAAAAATCACACAGTATGAACAAATGAAGTTACACAAATACTGTAGCTTTTAATGTTTTTTCTGACCTGCACTCTGTACACAAGTCTGCATTGGTCCACTGTTTTTGAGTGAAGTTAGTTTCCCCTAGAGACTTGTCACAAGTCTCTTAGTTTTCTCTCTTACAAATGTCTTCATCCTACAAGATGCTATATTTTTCAATAAGTGAGCTCTGAGGGTGTTTTTGTTCAGGACATAGCCACAAGAGATGTTTCCTCCTCTGTCCAGTCTTTAAATGAAGTTCAGTCTTCATCTTAATGCTGGGCGAGAGGATGGGGAAAAAACTGTAATGGCCAAAATGTTGAATTAAAATAATTCTGAGTGTCTCACTTTTGTATTAAAACTCAAAGAAAGCTCACAATCAGATGAGTTTACAAATAATTTTACACTTAAGGTTTACACTTTTTAAAGTATCATGTCTGTGCTACATTCTGTTGTCACAAACCAGGTCTCATGTAGGCTTTTTTTGTTTGTTTTCTTGTCAGAACACCAACGGAGTCAACTTCTACAACATCCTCACCCAGGACCCGGATGAGAAAGTCCGCTCTTCAGAAGGAGAGAACTTCATCGGTGAGAAGTTGTGTTAAGTTATCACATCCAATCACCAAACTGGAGAACCAATCTCTTTTTGTTTCTTGAGAAACTATGAACCTCCTCTGAACATCACACAGGTGTAACAATTGATAACGTCACAGCTGATCACTACCAAACCTTTCCGCTGCCGCAAAAGGGGACATTTCCTCTGAGCCACAGCCGCCCAATATTAAGACTCAATTTTCAAAATCTCAGATTTTTTTCCCCCTCATACTCTTTTAATAAGGAACATATTTGGGTCCACCCACAAAGGATCTTTAGGATCTGGTGTCTTCCATCTTACCTGAACCGGCATCACAAATAGAGCTTCAAAAAAATATCCAACAAAAAGTAAAAATAGAATTAAATCATGAGGCCCTGCAAAACTGACTGCTGCAGAATCCACAAGATGGAAGAGAGTCAAGGTTCCTGTCCTCTCTTTTGTTAGTTTCCTTGCTATGATGGCATGGCACAGAATCAAGGATTATTTGCATCATAATGTATTTCTTTATCAATATGTGTTTCTTCTTTGCACCAGCTCTGCAGACCCGGCGTCACATTCGCCCCCTCCACAGCCAATCACTGAGTGAGCTGATGAATGGACCTATCAGGAAGAAACTGGGCATCATTCCCCAGAATGTCACCTGGGGAGGTACTGTGTCTCTTAAGTTTTGTTTAATTTCACAAACACACATTCTAGACTCTGAATGTCTTGCCTCATTAAAAGCGTTCTTATCTTTCTTTCTTCTCCTGTCCTGCTATGTGTCCAGGCCAGGCAGAAGATGTGTTCAGCCACATGGCAGGAGACTTCATGAGGCCGGTGGTGGACATCGTCTCCCAGCTGCTGACCGCTGGAGTCAACGTCACTGTCTATAACGGACAGCTGGACCTCATCGTGGACACCATGGGTAACTACCTCAGATTATTATCCTGTTCTCAGCTCCGGTAACTGTTAGCCATCCAGAGCTGCCTCACGAATCAGCGTCTCATCTCAGGTCAAGAGCTGTGGATGAAGCGGCTGAAGTGGGATGAGCTGCCAGGCTTCAACAAGCTGAGGTGGACCGCCCTAGACGACCCCATCTCCCCAGGCGTTACCGGAGCTTTCTACAAGACCTATAAGAACTTTGCCTTCTATTGGATTCTCAGAGCCGGTCACATGGTGAGATAATAGCTGCAGATGTGAAACATTGAAGTACAAACTGGTTCTGGTACCACTTCAGAAAATGATCAGCAATTTAGGGAATTAATTGTACTTTGATGAGACATTGTCTGAGCCTTTGATGGCTTTAGCTTGCCCCCCAGCACGTCTGTGAGGAACCTTGGAGTTCTAGGACAGCCTTCTTCCACATGTGCAATATCCTGAAAAATTAGGAACATCCTGTCTCAAAAGGATGCTGAGAAACTAGCCCATGCTTTTGTTACCTCAAAACTGGATTATTGTAATTCTTATTATTATTATTGTCAGGATGTCCCAGTAAGTCTGGGAAAAGCCTCCAGTTGGTCCAAAATGCTGCAGCCCAGTGCTGACGGGATCTAGAATGAGAGATCATATTACTCCTGTCTTAGCTTCTCTACATTGGCTCCCTGTAAAATACTATAGAATTTAATATATCTGCTCCTCACATATGCAAAGCCCTTAACAATCAAGCCCCTTCATATATCAAAGAGTTCAAAGCACTGTATGTTCCAATAAATCACTTGGCTCACTTGTGGTTCCTAAACATTCTCTCTTCTCTCCCATCTTTAACTCCCACCTCTCCATTTCTCTGCTCACCCCAACTGCTAGAAGCAGATGTCTTCCCACATATTTAATCTGGTTTCTAAAAGTGTCTTCCTGTTATGAAGAGGGTTTTTTTTTCTCTATGTTGGAAGGTCTCTACCTTAATATATTAAGTGCCTTGAGATAATGTATGCTGTGATTTGGCGCTATACAAAATGAATTGAATAAAAACAAATCCCTAAGTAGAGTAACACAAGTCATAAAAATTGTACAAACACATTTTTCTCTTCCTGTTTGGGCAGATTCCCTCAGACCAGGGACCAATGGCATTACAGATGATGAAGATGATCACCCAGCAGCCCTGATCCACCCACCCTGAGGCCAGCTGGAATGGCTCTGACAATCACAAGCCTTTTTTTTAATTTTAAATTGACTTTCTGCTAAACCAAATCAAAGATCTCACACCTACTTGATTATGACAAAGACCTGTGTAGATTTCAGCTATAACACCAATAAATACTGTTTGTTTTTTGTACACGCTGGCTTCATCTTTGGTGCAGTATTACACTTTTCAAATATGCTCTATTTATGCCCAAGTGGCCGGAGGCATTAAGGTCGTCCATCCGTTCCATTGTGGTGAACGTGATATCTCAAGAATGTCTTGAGGGATTCTTTTCCAGCATTTCTCTTTTTGATTTTGGGCCAACTAAAAGGATTTCTGTTTTATTTTCCATGAAGCTTTAGGAAATTATTGCCCATCTATGTATTTATTGCTGAAAGACATTTAATGATGGAGTGCAGAGTGTTATGATCATTTGGCTCAGCAGTAATGTACAGTTGTGTTTCAGCTGTGTAACTATGGAAACAAACATGATCTGCTCTGATGATGTCATCCAGTGGCAGCATGTACAGTGAGAATAAGAAGGGTCCAAGGCAGTTCCCCTGTGCAACCCTAAAACAGCTGTCATGTTTTTCAGACACTTGATCTCCAACGCTCACATAGAACTTCCTTAAAGTTCTTGAACTCCCTTAAATGTACACTGAACAAAAATATAAACACCCCATGTCAAATATAAGAGTTTTATTAACATTTGGGTTACGCAATATATAAAGAAATTCAAAATTTATTTTCAGTAATTACTAATCTTCATATCGGTGTTGATAACATCGTGGTATGGCCATTTGTAATGTATTGACAGTCCTTTGAACATGATAGGGGTCAGGTTGAGGAATTTGATTGTTCAATATCTTGTGTGTCCACGAGCTGCGTCTCTCAGAGCAACACATCTTCTTCGCATGGAGTTGATCAAATTGAGTCGAGTCGTTCCTACGCTGGACAGCAGTGAGATCCAGACCACGGTGAGGGCGCCGAGCATTATTTTAGTATGTGCAGTTTCAGTGTGTTTGTTTTTCTTGAACGTTGGATCTTCAGCTTGAGGGAATCCCTTAAAATTTTGTACAAACTTTCACTTAGACTCTGATTCGATTTCAGTGGTCAAGGTCACGGTGGCTTCACTTGGACTCAAAGATAAAGTGATTACGTGTCAGAGGTCACAGTGACCTTATGTAAATCTGGAAAAAATAAATGTGTACACAGAAACTGCACTGGTTGGCGGAGGCATACAACAGCAATGCAGCAATTCCAACATTTACGATAAATATGAAAAAATGCATAATTTATGCACATTCCAGACCGTAAAGGCTGGATTTGTCCATAGCTGTTTTGCAAACACACTTTTCAGAGTTGGTTCCTCCTGCCCGGCTCAACCAATGACAGTCCCAATGCTGTCATGGAAATTATGCTCTAAAGCACAAATAAACACACCTCTACACAATCCAGCAGGGAAGGTGAACACTTCCTCCTGACCGCTGTGGCTTCTTGTGGGGTGTTTTTTTTCCTCTCTTAGTCCCAAGAGTGTGGTCTTTCAGTTTGACAGCAGGATTTATTGATTTCACATTCACATTTTGTAATGCTTTTACTCAAAACCCTGCGCGTGCTTAGACTTCCTGCACTCCTGCCTCAGCTCTTCTCCTCACATTCTGTTGCTTCTGCGAAACATCAGATTTCTATGATGGTCTTGTTTTAGTTTTGAACACAGAAATCTCTTAACCCCCCCGTCCAGGCTGTTTCAAGCTTTTAACCACAGCCAACAAATTGATTAATTGTAAAGCCCTTCCTGGCAAGGCCCCTTGTTACACTAAAGAGCTTCATTTCTTGCAGTGCATTCAGACCCCTTTACATTTCCATATTGTAGCTTAAGTCAAAATCATTCAAATCAAATAATCCCATAACACACGATTCCTGTGATTAGAAAAAAAAGCAGAATTTTAGAGGTTATTTTTTTTGCAAATGTATTAAAAAGGCAAAAAGTAACATCTCATTGACGTAAGTCTTCAGACACTGACATCTTTGAAATGTTTGTACATCTTGACCGGAGTCCACCTGTGATCAGGTCAATTGATTGGAAATAATAAGGTCCCAAGGCTGCAAAAGCCAACCTATGATCTGAGATACAGGACTGTGTTGAGGCTTCTGGAGAAGGCTACAGGAAAAGTACAGCACTGAAGGCCCTCACACACACACACACTGCTGCCATACTGAAGGCAAAATGTTTTTTTATCTTTTTTTTTAAAACTATTTATTGCTTTTACTCTTGCTCCACACATGCATTTTTTTAAAAGCACTTTGTAATCTTGAGATCTTGGAAGGGGCAATACAAATTAAGTGATTAAACCTATTATCATGAGCGATGCAAGAAGGGTACTTAACTGACATCCAATATTGTTCTTACTGATTATAGTAGTATTTGTATTAGTATTGCGTACAATCGCATAAACATCAGGCTTGATTATACGATGAACTAATACAGAAAAGTTTCTTTGGTATATTTCCTTACAAGTAAAACAAAAAGATAGACAAATAGAAAGTTTTGCGAGTTCAGGCTTGCTTTCAACAAAAACATGATTCAGGCTGCCTGAATCTATATATTGTATATATAAAGTCATTGCGTGACATCTGCTGTGTAGCTGAGGCTTCTTCTTCCCCACTGACTCTCTGGGACAAGGAAGCCCTTCCTGCTTACTGGCTCCACCACCAGTTCCAGTAAGCCAGGGGGCTTTGGCACCTCCAGCTCTGTTACCCTAAATAAATTGGAATATGCACGTCCCAACAGAACCAGCTGACCTGGAGGGATTCGGGGATCGGGTCCCCTCAACCGGCGCCAGTATACCCTGAAGTGCTGCACGGTCTTGGTCGCGTAATCCCAGTGCAGAGTGGCGTTGAGGAGCAGGCAAGGAGAGTTGGACTCTGGCAAGGTACTAACACCATTAAGCCACACCACATCGTAAATGCACAAACCCTGAACCAGCTCAGAGGGAACCTGCAGACTGGCTACATCCAGGAGCTTGCAGAGAGAGAAGAAGATGCAGACAGACAAGAACTATTAGAATGGGAGGAACTATCAGGTACCTGGTCAGGTAGGTCAAGAAGTCAATTATCAGCGTGAATCAAAGAACTAAGGGCAGAATTATGTGCACACCCTGAAAGGAAGTCAACTGAAGTTTAGGTGATGAAATGAGCTGAAGTGCACCACCTATAGTGTTGGCTAAAGCAAAAGTTGGAATAAATTGTGTTTGAAAAGTGGAACTTATGACAGTTACTACAGCTGACCACCTGATGAATGAAAGCCTTTGTATACATATACACATACACACATATATATATATATATATATATACACAAATATATATATCTAGAGAGAGAGAGATATTTTCCATATTTAAATCATCACAAAAATAAACATAAAAAAGTGTTGTTATTGTTATTAGTGTTATTATTATTATTATGGGAATTGTAACCCAATTCAGGTTGTCAGCTTTTATCTGCATCTCAAATAATGTAAATTGAACACAGTGGACTCCCATTGTCTCACCATAATCTCTCCCACCCTGCAGGTAAAAGGCGTGTCCTTAAGGTCCCCCATCCGTTGGATGTTGACACCGACCTCTCTAAGAGTACAGCCACAAAGCTCCAACTGCAAACACCTGCACGTGGTAACATGAAGGGGAGAGACTGATCGGTTTACATTGAAATCCATCGGTTTCAAAGCTGCACCCAGAAACAACGTTTGAAATCTGATCTGATCAACATAACTGCTCTCAGTTAGTGTCTTACCTGATTGTCCAACCTTCTGGGTTCAAGTTTCCACACAGCTGAGAGAACAGGCTCACCAGCTGGTGGCCCTCATCCAATACCTCAGGCTGCACACTGGTGACTGCAAACATTAAACAAGTGCAGTAAATACTTGATGTAACTGAGTGAACATTGAACCCAGGGATGTAAGTGTGTTTGGGTTCAGGATTGTGTGGCAGCCAATGGAACCTACCAAGTATCAAACGTGGGTGCTAATATCTGAGTCTAATGTACCTGAAGCTGAAACGAGGTTGGATATACATTTTTTATATAGATTTTAATTTTTTTATTTTAATATTGTAATGCTCATTTGTTTTATCTGCTCTAAGTACAAAGTCTACATGTCAACCTGATGAAGGTAGACTTCTAATTCATCTGAGTCAAGGATTAAATCCACACCCACACCATCTCTTACTTGATCTCCAAAGTGTAGCTTTCATCCTTTGCAATTCACCTTTTGTTCCACAAGGTTTTAAGGGGTAGCTACCACCTTTAACACTTAATTTCATTACGCTCAACCTACGTTTCAGTGCAGATGTTATTGAATGAACATCAGCCACAGCTCATGCTCTACTGCTGGGGTTGGTGGTCATCTTAACCAGTGAAAGATATGATTGGTGCAGAGAAGACTATAAATAAGAATATTTATAACATTTGTCTTTGAAGCTTTTATTTCTCCTCATTCTCAGAGGTTTGAGGCATCAGGGTTTAAGAAAGTATTGGCAACAACATCCAAATGAAATCGGCAACCTTCCGACTGAGTAGGACTGAGGGTGATGAGTGAAATGAGTGATTCATAAATTGATAACCTTCAATGTAATTATTAGAAAATGATTAAAGCTGGCATTGACTCCAGCCCCCACAGATGGGTCTGTAGAGAATATGCAAGTGTAGACAATGGACAGTGTCAGGAACTCACGTTTGACATTGTGGCCGTCCGTGCTAAGACTGGCATCTGTTGTCTTCAGCTCCAGGGAGACACTGATCCCAGCAGATGGTTTATAGATGAGGCTCACCAGGATCTTGGATGGCAGGGGTACATTGAGGGAGAAGATGCTGAGAGACGCAGAACAGCGGCAAAGATACAACAGGTAGAATGAGCTTGTGTGTTTGGGGAGGTGGTGCTGCAAGATCACAACGTGACAAGATGAGCAGAAAACACACACTTGGCAGAAACTGCAGATGTGTGAGAGGCAGGGATGAGGCCCTCGAGCAGCAGTGAGCAGCCTCCGTTCCAGGCGTCCTGTGGGCAGCCACGGCTCCTCACCCAGCCCGTGCCCTCCAGCTCCGTATGGTAGTACAAGGGTTGGATCTCCTGGGCAGCCAGGTTGAACCAGCTCCTTTCTGTCTCGTGCTGCAAACACATAATAATAAAAATATCAATAAACCTGACTCACATAGCGCATTTCAAAACATGGTATTTTGCAAGTTAAAATGAAAAAATCCTTTTTTGTGATTAAGTGGCATTTTATGTTTTATTCTTGAAAGGCAAAAGCTCACCATTCTTCAACATACATTACAACAATGATCTAATTCGGACTCTTACAACATCAGACTAATACAATGGTCTCATCAAGCTTACTGAATACACTTTGTGCTGATTAACTTTAAAATAATTGGCCTTTAACTGTAGCTTTGCGGTGCTATGTGATCATGTTATGCAACCATGTAACGTAGGACTTCCTGGAGCAGATCTCTCTTTTCCGTGAACTGCTATCATTCAAAGTGATTGTCTGGGCCACTTAAGAGCTATTAGACCACATGTGATTGGCTGTGTTGAATAATCAGCACTCCCTCTGATCTGTATTCTAGTCCAGCAAGCCTTTCTGCACTTTGTGCTGCTGCATCGTTAACTCAAACAGCAGATGTGCTCACACAACCTTTACACCAAAGATCAACTTCACTTTGCACTGGTCATTACACTTAACATAAACAAGGTGATCAAAAGGGGCTTTAGCCTTTTCACTGGACAAAAACCCAGCTAACACATCTTGCTTTTGTCTGCAATGGGAATGAATACTATCAGCATTCACTCCCGGGTCAAATGACTCTGCAATAGACACTGGTTTTAATCAGCTCCGGCTCTGATCGACAGCGATGGAAACACGACACCCGGGTGAACGGGCTAATTTGGCATGACAGCGAGGCAAGAGAGTGAATCAGTGAGTTCGTGAGATCGAAGATGATGCAATGGGCGAAACAAAAGAGATGCATGCTCCACCACTGACAATGGGAAAGGAATCAATTCCCTTTATCAGTAGGTTTACCTGCATTTAGAAAAAAATATAAGTACTTTGTTTAACTACCCAGGTCCGCAGCTTAAAACAAGAAATGTTCAATCCAGTCTTCACACTAAGAATATCTAATAATGAATATAACAATACAACACAGAGAGAAAAAGAATAAATCACTTCATTATTACGTTAATTAGAGCATTGTATCGTTTATGAATTCAAAGTTTTCTTTTCTGCATGCAGTTCATCTTGAATTGGAAGTGTGTTGAAGTATTTTTGAGAAGACTCAAGCGCACTGGCCTGAGCAACCAGTAATGTTAACATCGTGTATTTTGCTCTTCCACCATTCCACCATTACCTTTCCTCTCCAGTAGAGAGCCTTCCCAAAGCCCTGGCAGAAGGAGGAGATGAAGGGGAGAGGTGAGGCTGGTCGGTGGATGTACAGGTTGTCTGACAAAAGAGCCCAGAACCTGCAGGAAGTTTAAAAACATCCTATTCTTAATTCATTCATTGTTATATTATATACTATTTTAAATCAGCTTTCTTAATTCATTGGCGATTAATGAGTGTATTAAAGTCAGTGTAAATATTGTGCACAGCTCACATGTCCTGGTTATTGCGGAATTCAGTCTTGTCATCGTGTGTCTCGTACACCCAGCCTGGAGCGAAGATGGCTGTAGAGAAGTTGTGCTTCCTGATCATGTCCAGGGCCTGAAGACAAACAGCACAAGAATATAAATACAGTTAATTGTCTGTGTGATTTATGCCTATTAATAAAAAGCCACCTTATCCAAAGGGTGTACCTTATTGGTTTCAAGCATTCCTCCAACCACGTTGCCTCGGCCAAACACGTCTACCCCGATATAGACGTCAGCCTCACGGCCCTGGATTCCGCTGTTTTCTTTCATCCCCTCCAGGTTCTCCTCTGTCCAGTTGTAGTTAGTGAAGAAACCATCACAAGCATCGAAAAATATCCTATTATGAGGAGTTTGAGGCAAAGTTTTGGATCAGTAAGTTAGTAATGAATCTTAACTAAGTTTCCAAACCATATAGAAATCCACTCTACCTATTGGACTGGTTGAGTTCATTCTGCCAAACCAGCTTTCCGCTCTCGATCACGCTGTCGTACCACAGCACCAGGCTGCCAGAGACTCGCTCGTGCATCTGGTCTGTCAGATAGCGCAGGAACAAAGGTGTGTTCTTCACCGCAACCTCCTGCAAGTAGAGGACAGCGTGCACAGTTTGTTCTTACTTCAGGGTTTGATACACTCTACGAGAATGCTAGCTTGAGTCAAATGTTTTTTTCAGAGGAAAAATAACAGGAGACTACAGGCATGCTTTTAGCTCTGTGATTGGCATATTCATAGTGCGAACAGACTTATGTTAACTAGTATGTGGAGAAGTATTGATAAAATCAAGTCAGTAGGATTCGTCATCCTTAAAGGGTGAAGTGGTTTGATTGCCAAGTGATCTATACTGGCTGCAGTATAGATCATAAATCCCACCTCCTCTATGTTGATGGACGGGACAAGGACCAAATCAAAAAGGGAGAGAGTAAACGCCAAATAACTTTTTCTCGAAGATGAACAGTTGTTTCTGTCATTGTAGTTAGTTCTTATCACACTGATATATGTTCAAATGTTCATTTTACCAGTAAGTTTGGCTTTAAATAGTTATTTATCATGATTGGTCAAATGCATGTATCAGCAGGACCTCACTACTGCAACGCCATCTTCCTGCTGAGACTCTGGCTGCAAATGCACAAGACAGTGGTGTTTGTATCTGGGATATCTTTGCTTAATTTCTGGATAGTGAGAGAGAGTGGGGACGCGTCGGCCATAAGCTAAAGCTATATGTGGTGGTGTGGTAGCACCAGAAGTCAATTACTCACATTGAGGGAATTCTCTATGTTAATGAGCCAGCCATCGAAGCCATAATAGCAGCTAATCTGGACTAGTTTATCAGCTACTGCCCGATACGACTCCTCATCTTTCAGGAAGGCATCACACACCGTGGCTCCATCAGTCCACTCTGTGATGAAAGTCCCTGGAAAGAAAGCCAATCACAGTGAAGATCGGAAACCCTGTCAAACTCTCACTGCATCTTGATCCTTGTGATATAAAAATTTAAAAATTCAGGAAGACTAAACTTTTCACTCACCTATAACGACGACTCCATGTTTATGCGCAGCATTGGTCCACACAGCAGGAGGAATTGTCACCAGCTTGTGTGTGAAGTAGTTAAAAATATCAATATACTGCCAGTGGTAGAAAGCATATGGAGCGTCGACACTTGTCCCCTGGACAAACCTCAACAACAGAAGACAGAATGGCATGGCATTATGGTTAATGAATGTGGCTGCAGGAACAAAATAAAACCTCCTAACCATTAGAAATAAATGATCATGTATGAATCATGGACCCAAAAGCTAAAACAAGCAACAAAATCCATCTGTTTAACAAGTATAATATTTATAGTCTTCATTAGTGGCTGTAGTTAGTTATATGGCTCATGTTACGATGACACAGTCAGAGTGCACCTAAGGGACAAATGCAAACGGACTTCACTGAGTCATAACTCATGACAGTGTGATGAGCTTCCACATGCAGCCTCCAAAGGCTGTGGCCCCTGAATTAGGACACAGACAAAAACCCACCAAATACTTAGTGTGGTTGTTGGGGAGAACAGTGGTCTAATCTAATGGAAAGTCTTCCCAGAAAGGCAGAGGCAATTATACACAAGTATTGCATCCGGGCATCCCCATACTTTGGGCCATGTAGTGTACAGTATACTCCCTAATTTAGGTATAGTGCCAAGTAGAGCCCCTAAATCCTGAAATATCCCTTCAGCTCACTGTGAACTGTGTAGAGTTTGTAAACTTGAGAAATGAGCTGAAAAGACATTTTGAGGTGATTTGAAGATCAGGCAGTGTCCTTTTCTGAATTCTCTATTTATAGTCGTCCACCTAGGCCAGAGAAAAGAATCCTATTTCCTTAGGGGCTAGTTATTTCCTTATAAATTCACACCTGTCATCTAGGTAGCCGCCCATCATATCATGAGACACCAGAGTCCGACGCGGGCTACTGGCCAGGGGAGGCTCCCGAGTTGCCAGAGGGACGACTGCCACATTGAAAGGGTTTGCCTCACTTCGTTTCCATGTCAGAATCTCCTCTAAAGTCTGAAGACCGCAGCTGATTGGTTCGGTGGTGTCAGTATCATAATGGTTTTCTAGAAGAGAATAGGAAATAGCACGTTGAAGAACACTGAGAAGGTTCTTGATGTTTGGACATCAAGATATCAACTGCAGCTCAGATTTGATGAAGACGTGGTGATGTAGTCACCTAACCTGCTAGCTGCGAGGGTGTATACTTGACAACTTCATGGATGCTGCTTGAATCCATGGGTTGATCTAAACAAGAGTCCAACCTAGTGAAAGTAAAAGGTGGCAAAAAAAACAAATTGAGCAGTCATTTTTAAACAGATTTTTTTCCCACAGGCTACTTGATTTTTTGATGACGCTTTCTCAGCATGAAGATCTTGCAGCGGTTCAGGGTTTATCACACACCGGGCAGGCAATTTACCTGGGGGCTCATGAAACGTGGTTTCCTTTTGGTTAAAGCAAAAAAACTCTAAACAAGTGATAACTTCTATATATAGATACACAGCAAATAATTCAAAGTGGAATAAAAGTGAGACAAAGTCTTAAATTAGACGACATAAAAATAAATTTTAGATTGAATATAATTGTCATGAGAACTTCCCCTCTATGTTTCGGCTCCCTGGAAGTTCAAACAATACCTTTGGCACATAGTGCTGGAAGGTAAAGCTAAGACAAGCCTTTCTCCACCCATCACAATGGTTGACCCGGGGCCTGCAATACCACTAAAACCGCCCCTGGAAGAAAGCCACTCATTCAGGAATGATGTGAGTTTATGACACAAGACAAGTTGAGGTTGTACTTCAGTGTGAATGCCACTGTGATCTGTCATGGTAGGAAAAGAACACTCTGTTTAGCTCAAGTGTCCTGGTGAGACCTTTCAGTGAGACGTTACAGTGAGACCTTACAGTGAGGCCTAGTGAGACCTTGCAATGAAACCTTACAGTGAGACCTTACAGTGAGACCTTTCAGTGAGATCTTATAGTGAGACCTTACAGTGAGACCTTACAGTGAGACCTTTCAGTGAGACGTTACAGTGAGACCTTACAGTGAGATGTTATAGTGAGACTTTGCAGTGAGACTTTACAATGAGATCTTACAGTGAGACTTTACAATGAGATCTTACAGTGAGACTTTACAATGAGATCTTACAGTGAGACTTTACAGTGAGACCTTGCAATGAAACCTTACAGTGAGACCTTAAAGTGAGACCTTTAATTGAGACCTTACAGTGAGACCTTAAAGTGACATCTTGCAGTAAGACTTTGCAGTGAGACTTTACAATGAGATCTTACAGTGAGACCTTACAATGAGATCTTACAGTGAGCTAGTGTGCAGCACCAGGACTCTAAAACTGATGCAGCTAAATGGAACTCAGCCATAATGAATGTCCGTATTAACAGATGTGATTGTTTATGTCATCGTGTCTGCTGGGAAACGAACTGTGGGACTGAACAGGTTCGTTTAGTGACATTTGTTGATCGTCGGCTACTTTTGTTTGCTGCTGTTCATGATAAAACATCTCATGACGAGTCTGCATCATTAAAACTAGAGAAGACTCTGACTCTGGCTCAGTGACAGTCTTGTGAGACCGGGAAGTAAGTGAGGAGCTACAGTACCGGCTGGGTTCCGGTGTGTCCTTCCCGCCGACACCATCGCTCTCCTCTCCGTCCTCTCGTCTGCTTTTCCCGGGAGTCTTGTTTCCTTCCGCAGTCACAGACATTTCTCCACATTCAGATGAAAATCGACGGACAAGGAAACCGAAAGGTGCCTGGGCAACGGCGAAGCCTTTCCGGCCGTAACCCTTCACAATAAAAGCACCATTTTCAATAAATAAAATTAGAGAAAAAAACTGAAAGATACAAACAAAGCTTGCTTGAACAGCATTCGACAATACTCATGTTGTGATTTATTAGATCAACATCACAAACAAAATCTGTTATGAAAATAACCCTTAACCATTGCTAAACCATTTTAAACGAAACAGCTTGAGATGAAGCCAAGTTATTAACCCATATTGCAGTGAACTTTATTCAGTAACCGTGTATATTTCTCTTATTTGTTTGCACTCAGCTGCACATGAGAGAATGGACCGAGGCCAGCTGGACAAAGGACCCACTCTTTTGTTATTGTGCAGAACCAGACACTTTTATTTTGAAGAGATTGGTCCCTAGCAGGAAATTATGGAACAACAACACTGGGCACTGAGCCTTGTTCACTCAACAAAATAGAAAGTACCCCAAAGTACCCACGTCTTGTTTTTCTTTAATACTAGTTAATTTAATACTTCATTTTTAATACTTCATTTATGTACTTGTGACAAAATCATCATTACTCACAGGTCAGTAAATGTCATCTATCCATCCATTATCTACACAGGGGCAGATGGAGCCAATCCCAGCAGAGGCAGGGTAAACCCTGGACAGGTTGCCAGTGTATCACAGCGCCAACATACAGACAACCATTCACACTAACATTCCCAACCACGGTTAATTTAGAGTCTTCAATTAACCTTCACCCAATCTGCATGTTTTTGGACTGTGAGAGGAAGCTGGAGTACACAGAGAACACCGAATTCAAACCGGGAGACTTTCTGTGAGGCAAAAGCTAAACGCATCACAGGGACAGGCCTATTTTAGTTTGTGTATATTTGTTCTATTGTTGAAAATGCGGTGATACTGCATCTGTATGATCTCCCACCAGTTGATGTTAGGGACCACCAGCGGATGGAATACCTCTTAGTACACAGATATATACTTTAATTGCAGTATATGAAAAAGAGCTTGTTAAAGTCAGACTGAACAAATGAGGTACCATCAATCAAAGAACATCCAAACTATCGATGGTGGGCTTTAAAGTGAAAGTCTACTATTCATCATCAGCTTTGGAAGTGAGTAGGCAGGTAGGTAGGTGGGTACTAGGTAGGTAGGTAGGTAGGTAGGTAGGTGAGTACTAGGTAGGAGGTAGGTGGGTGAGCACTAGGTAGGTAAGTTTAAGGTAGGTAAGTAAGTAAGTAAGTAGGTAGATGAGTACTAGGTAGGTAGGATTAAGGTAGGTAAGTAAGTAAGTAAGTAGGTAGATGAGTACTAGGTAGGTAGGATTAAGGTAGGTAAGTAAGTAAGTAAGTAGGTAGATGAGTACTTGGTAGGTAGGTAGGTAGTTAGATAAAGTGAAAGTTCTCTCTTGCTCAGAAACACCGTGCTGTTACTGACGCTGGTGTCTGTTGGCAGCTCTACAGTAAAAGGCTCTCTGGCAGAAGCGTCACGCAGCACGGAAGTGACGTCGGACGTAGACGACGGAGGATCAGGATGCTGACAAGAAGCTGAAGCAGCATCAAGAGGGAGACTGTCCGAGCCCAGCCCAGAACCATAGCTCCTCAAAATCCGTCTTCATCCGTGGAGATTTAACCTCGACTCGTCTCAAAACCAGCGGGAGCATCAAGTTCACACTTCGACCTTTCCAACAAGCCCCGTATTACCGCCGGATGACATTGGCAGCATTTTAAAACAAGTGGCGAAAGATTGCGGGAGCGGAACCTACCCGGAGACAACACAGAGCAGTCAGCAGATCTCTGGAGGAGCTCCTCTGTTCGGCCTGTTCTGCTTTTTAACACCTTGCCTCTCAACCTGAACATTTCTTTTTCACATTTTCGAGCTAGCAGTGAGCTTGCTAGCCGACCACAGTTTCCCCTACCATGGAGTTGAGAGTAGGAAACCGATACAGACTGGGCAGGAAAATTGGAAGTGGATCATTTGGGGACATATACCTGGGTGAGTCGTTGTCAAAACCAACCTGATGTTTCTATTTGTGCCATCTTCCAGCAACGGCACGGAGCTGTAGCTGTTGTCCTGTTTCCCTGGTTTCTCCCTAAAGAAGCTTCTGCTCGATCAGCTGTTAGCTGTTTGGTGCTAAGCTACTAAGTTAGCGGCTAGCTGTAACAAAACGTCTGCTGTTTTAAATAACAATACGCTATCTGTGTGTATGTCTTTGTTCATGGTGCTCTAATCTGCCCTTTACCCGTCACAATAATATAACAAGTGTCCAAGTGGAGTTTGGTAACGACGAGAATGGAAACGAACGGTTGCTGTGTAGCTAATCCCTTTATCAGCTATTAACTAGCTAATATGAGACTCCCCTGTCTGCCTGTAATCGCCGTCAGGCAGCAGCAGTCCAGAAACAGAAGATCTGACCAGGACACAGGCTTTGCTATTTACTGCCTGTAGTCTAAAATAACACGGAGCCACTCCGGCTGAATGTCTGAGAACAACAGGCCGCTCCACCTAACGATCTTCTGCTTCATGAGAGTTCACATAAAGAAGTGTTTCATCGAGAGGTTTCACGAAGTTCCCACAGATTCATATCGACATCGGTTCTTCTCAAAGGAACATGGTTTTAAAAGGAGAATGTCCACTGTGCTGGGGTTGGGTCCTTTTCAATTGAATTTGAACAAATCAAGCTCTCTGGCTCCTTTTCAGTGCCTGCTCATAAATGAGTAATCTTTAATATTTGTAATGACTCACTGGATGTGCCACCTCTTATTAAAGGTCTTTGCTGTATGAATTTGGTCCGATGTTGGACACTGATGCTGATTAGTGCATGTTGACCGAGATCTGCATTTGAAGGTGCAAACGTAGTGTGAGCATGTAGCTGCAAAATAAAAATCAGAACATTGGATGTATTTATAACAAAGCCATCTCCCTGACTGAGCCCTGCCACCTTCTAAATGCAACCTCTGGGGCCATATTGGAGGTCCACAGCTCCTGGAAACAGTGGTTGAGAACAGCTGATCACATTTCTGAGCTTAAGCTTTGGTCATCTGAACAACAGAAGAGACATTGTTAATGAATGAAGAGCTTTTACGGGCTGGGGACTGATCACTTCATCACTGACGTCTAATTAACTTGTAGAGGACAACACCCACCTCTGGATTTTGACACGATGACTTAAATAGCATTTAAAAAGAAATAGTTATTTATTTAGATTTCTACTATCTGTGCCATAGTATGTGTACGGTGTATATGATTGTGAGCATTAAGGGGTGGACCACCTCTGAACCAAGATGTTATAGGAAACCCTGAGACATAAGCATATTTGATTTCACAAGGATTTTCATAACATGTATTTGGAAATGTTAAGCAAATATATAAAGCATTGGAAGTAAAAGATCTGAATGCTTTCATTTTTAGTTTATGCAGTAAAGCTTTGCATTAGTTTGCATGCATGAAAACGAAGCTGCTTCTTTATGTACTCATTTGGTCAAACCTCAGTTCCCCTAACAACATGGGAGGAAGTGTTTGAAATAATTTGGTCAGTTAAACACTTTGGCTTCCTGGTGTCTGTTGAAGATCAACATTTTATTTTGTATTTGTGAGTTTGTTTTTGCCTTGAAAGAAATAGAAAATCAGAGACAGATAACCTAAAAAATAACTTCAAATCAAATCTACTACTCCTCCTCATAGTAGTAAGTATATGGTCTACTTAAATGACCTCTGCACTGTAAAGTTTATATTCAGATGTGTTCCTACACACATCTATATATTGGATGTGTTTACTTGTGATCAGAAAATCCTCTGGACAAAGTAGTTTCACAAGAGCAGAGTGAAAGTTGATTAAAGCATTATTTGGATTCAGTCTGTCTTCCACATGACCTGTTGTTAGGACTGACAGTGAGAGCTGCCAGCTGCTTACATAATCACTTTGTGTTTTTCTCTTTACTCCATGTCCTCTCCCCTCTGAGTGGCTGGGACTAAGGTTACGCAACACTGTTAACAAGCCAGAACAGAGTGTGGTTCTTTCAAATCAACGTGCCTGACCCACCCTGTGCTTCAAGTTTTTGAAGTCTGGTAACACTGCAATTAGCTCCAAGTAATTTATTTTTTCTTAAACTAAATATAAACAGGTAAGATATTTAATAACAAAGTTCGATCTCAAAGAAGATATGGCAAAACCAACATCGAAAGAAAATTAAATTTTGACAGTGGATGTATGACCTGTCACTATGTATAAAATGTTCTGTTTCACAGAATGCTTCGTGTTAGTACTCCCACTCAGCATTTGAACACGCTAACAACACTGACAACATGTGAGCAGCTTGGTGTGTCGGGGCTGGCTTAGTGGCGGGCTGTGCTTGTATTGGTGTGAGAGGTGGTGTGTTATTGGCAGGCGGGGAGATGAGCTCAGCTCTTGGAATGAATCCTTGTACTCTGTGTGCTGTGACAGGGTTCATATTGGTAGAATAGCTAGTAATCTTTCCAAGGTAAGCAGTTAGTCACATGGTAGAGTCAAGATGTGTTTCCTCAAAGTTCTGCTGTTGAGCCGTCTGTTGCTTCATCTGGTCTGATCTAGTGGGTGATGTTAAACCAAGTTGCAGAAATTCAGACACTGGTGCTTGTTTCTATCCAAACTCTCTAAACTGGATTTTCCCAACACTTGAGTAAAATAAATACACCTCCCCTACTTTCCTTCTTGTTGCATTGCATGTTTTGGGCTTAGTTTGTATGCTATGAATTTTGTTAGTTTCCCCTACTCCTATATGTAGGGTGGAAATCCTACCCCTTTATCAGGGGTGGGTGAGAGCCCCTACTGCTTGTTTAGTTAAGACCTCGATTTGTACTGGAAAACTGAACTATTGATCGTCTGGTCTAATTTGTATTTTAGTTTACTGATTGGGTGGCCAATTAGCTGTAGGATTGAATGAAAATGTTGCAAATTTTTTATGTAGGATCCCTCATCTTTGGACAAATTGACATTTTGAGAAATAGACTTAGTCCCGCAGGGAGATACCATTCCACTCTCATATATAGTTTTCAATTACTAGCAGCTCTTGTAAGCCTAATCTAAATACTATAAAATAATAAATTCCCTTGACCCCGTCCAATCAAAGATAACAAATGCATATTCCAGTACTGTTGAAGTTCACTAATTAACATGTTATATTTGCTTTGGTTAGATCTGTTCAAAAACCTGTTGAGTTGTGGTGGTATGGGACATTAAGTATCAGGCTGTTTTCTGGTCACTGGTTTCTGGCATCATGTGCAAAATAATCTGAAATATTGCTTTGTTTAACTCTTTTTTTATCAAAGATAAAATTTGATTTTGGTAAAAACAGTAGGAAATAACAAAATTATTTAGCACTGCAGACTGTTCCATAATTTGTGCGAACAATTTTTAATTGATTCTTAACCCTGCCTTTTATACATGTTATACCATTTGAACAGCACTGACAGAGCCAACTACAAATAGCTTTAAACTGACTGTGTTTTCCATAGTGCAATGAGTAGATTTCTCAGTATAGAATGAACACGTGAGAGATATGGCCCTTTCAACACTTGCAATGCAGAGAAACATTGCACTTTAATGTCTAATTATTTGATTTTAAATTAAATATGCTGAAGCTAAAAGTGTGTCGAACAAAAGAGAGTCCATTCGTCTTAACAGTTGCTGTGTGGACTGTATCTAAGTAAACTGAATTGCTCGCAGCAGTGTATGCTAAGAGGGATGGGTCCAATTATGCAAGTAAAGCTAACTGTGAAGTTCTTCAGGGGCTGTTAAAGTAAGATTAACTTAAGACATGCTCAGACTGATTCTGCTGGTGACTCAGTTTTCAAACTCATCTTCTGCTGCCTTTCTCTTTTTCTGCTTGTGGTTTGATTGTGTGTCAAGTTATGATTCAGTTATGTTGACGTCATCTCATCCAACCGATTCCCATTGTTGTAGTGACAGAGCAAAGGGCTCATTCAGAAGTTTTCCTTCTCTTCTGACAGTTATGCAAAATGCAAGACAAGCCCTGAAGTCCCGAACTTTTCCTGAAATGTTTCACAGGGGCCTTATGTGAGAACACAAATGTTTGCGTCGGTTGTTCTGGACATTTTCCAGAACTTTTCCTCCTAGCCCCTGAGTAAAATGCCCAGAAAATGTTAGACTGAGAATACAATAAGAAAATTAAAATGTCTCTGCAAGTGAGTGGGCTGATGTTTTTAACACACCACCGATGCAAAAAAATAAATTAATTAATGTCTTAGGATGAAAAAGAGGAGCCACACAGGTATAGGAAGATGAAAGAGATGTCAACTCAGATAGACGAGATTGAGAACTTCTGGTGATAAGGGCCGAAACAGGTGGCTACGTTCTGTCAACAACACATGATTTCCACTGAATCGCTGAATTATAAGTTATTTCTGACTTAGTGCTCTACTCAGACACCATGCCGCAACTAAATGTTGTGGACATTTTCCTCTCGTTGTTGGTGCGTCTGAAATGTCCAGATACAATTTTATGGACATTTCCGGGGGTATTTTAGGTGCTTTAGCTACATTTCAGAAATACTCACTGAACTGTAGGTCTTGCAGTTCACGTTCGACTCCAAACTTAATAATATGTTGCATCTGCTGGCTCATACCTCTCTCAGTATAATGTTACAGTATCTGGAAAGGGGATTGTTGGCATTCTGTGCCTGGTCTTACTTGTCTTACATCACATCATCCCTCTTGTCAGGATGCCCAGATCTGTGATGTGAATCTCCAAGTGACATTAAGAATAACTTGAATCAGAGACTTCACTTTGAGCTCATTGTCTCATTATTATGTATTCATGTTCCTGCTGAGTGACGTGGGATGGTTCATTTATTAAATGCTGTGTGATATTTCAAATTTGCCACTTGCAACTTTGCTCCCGCTGTGCTAAAATCAGTGTTGAGGGACGTGTCTGAACATGTTTTTCCAGCAGCACCACTCAGGATAAAAAACGCTGCGTACATGTACACACTGTTTAACCAAAAAACAAACTTACAAGTAGACCAGTTTGAGGCTGCATTCCCTCATCATTCATCATTCTTAATTGAGTGACTAATAGGAACAAGCATGAACTAGAACTGTAAGAGTTCTAAGTGTCTTAGGTGTGTTTCAACATTTTACACCTCAACTAAAATACAGCATACTTTGATACTGATTGCTTAACCTTGTAGTGGTTTGCATTAATTGGTAGAGATTGTTACTAGTTTGAAAATAATATGCATCCATGCTATCTTTACAAACCAACAGAATGATTGTGGGCTAGACAGCTGTGCTGATTGGCCAAATTGTATTTGAAAAACCATTCAATGTGAGTGCGGTGGATGAGGAGCTAGTGCCAAAAAGGGATTATAATAATCTGTCAATTATCCTCTCAATAATTTAGTCAGTGAAATAATAATAGACATGACATATTATCAAAGGACATTATTAAAATTAAGTGATATTGCGATACCAGCATGGGAAATGCCTCTGAAAATGCTCGGTCAGCCATCGGCGAGTGTGCCGATTAGTTTCATCCAGATAACACTGCAATTTTCTTTTCTCAGTAATCACTTCTTCTTTTCCATCAAAAAGAAGCAGCTGTCACCGTCCTGCCATTGGCAGGTTCCGTTTTTAAAGCGGTAAAGAGGAAGTAGTCTCTGGTTTGTAGTTGTAGCCGTAACTAGCTAAAATGCAAAAACCTTTGCAGTATGAAAGTAAATCTGCAACATTTTACCCTTCGAGGGTAGGCTCCAATGCTTCATATTACAATGCCAGCAAAGATATACGAAAGTGCAAGGATTTCACAGAGAAGAGAAAAAGGATTTGTGTTTTTCAAATATTAATGTCAAAAACGGTATAAAAAATGATAAAATATTGCATTCATTCTGTGTATGTATGTTTTTCAAAGGGTTAACATGAGCCAGACATGCAACAATGATAGCAATCTTCACTTCCTTACAGGGTTAGTAGCATACAACTGTTAAAATACATTATATGAGCACTGGTATCAGATCAGTACTCTGTATCGGCCAATATGAAAAGGCCAGGTATTGGCACATCTTAAAGAACACAGCGTTAAAATGTTTACTCAATGTACTGACTATTGCTTGTTTATAAAACAGAATAAGCCAACAAATGTAGAAGTGTAGGCAGCAATCTTTTGACGTGATCAATTAATAATTGCACACAATTTTCAATTAAAGTAATTTTCTGTTGATCTGTAAAAACTCTTCGGTTGACTAGACTTAATAACTGAGTGTGCATTATGTGTATCGTGCACTTAAATCTTCCTGTATAAAGAGTTTGATGGCTGAAGTTGGAACACTGATCAGTTGGTTGGAGTCATGGCCCTAATTTCATGCCCCACCCTGGTCAGTGCAGCTCAGCCCACCTAGATGACATCATACAGAGAAATCAATGATGCTCCATTGATGCTGCTGTCAGCCTACATGATTGAACAGCTGCTCTGTGTGTGTTTGAGTGTGCGTGTATGCTGGTGTGCGGGTAATGCAATTACGCAACCTGGTGTCCAGTTGCTGTGTTTGTGTGGAGGGAACTGGAACCCATAACCATATTTAGGAAGAAGCCAGCTGAAGCAGGGATTTGTCCTATCACACGGAACAGCAGTTCCCCAAATCCTCTTGTCAGTGTTTGATTGTTAAGCTGGGCCTAGGAGCAACCCGAGCATACCAGAAGTTTGTCTCTTATTGAAATTGTAATGATAGCATTGAGGAATGTGGGCTGCACATGCAAGTCGATACACGAAAGAAGAGCTGGTTACATACGGTGCACATTGTTGGTATCTTCTTCCATTTAGGCTGGTTGTGATGTGTTAACCATCGTTATATGCTTGTGAACCCTTCATCACTTTAATCACCACCCAAGTGATTTGTATGTGTTTATTTCTGTGAGTAGCAGCATTATACAAAGCAAAATTTAACTTAACATGTATCAAGTTACTGACCTGCTACAGGGCTCCCTTGACTTTCCCATGCTGCTGTTGGAGTTTGTGACATACTTACCTTTGATTATTACATTCTATGATAAATATACAACATCTGCCTGTCTGTTTCTTTTTCTAGGTACTGACATCTCAGTTGGGGAGGAGGTCGCCATCAAATTGGAATGTGTGAAGACCAAACATCCACAGCTCCATATTGAGAGCAAGTTCTACAAGATGATGCAGGGTGGAGGTACTATATACTGTAACACACCTTGTGCACAACACACCCTGCCACTTTGTTTTTATGATCTAAGAACTCCACACTCACTTACAAGCACTGTAAAATGTAAGCCAACATCCACCCACCATTGTAAATCATTAGAAAACTATGCCTGTTTGGTGCCTCTGAACATGTTGAGGTAACTAACTTGAGGTAGTTGTTGGCAGGGATTTAAAATTCTCCATCGTTACATGATCTTTTCCTTTAACTGGAATCTTTTGGATTGTAGCCACGCCCTGTATGAGGTCAGTCCAGAACCATTGGGAAAACTGCAACTGGAGAGTTAGTGTGATACAGTGAGCATTGCATCCATATGAAACAGTGACATGCAGAACACAGGTTATTTATAATGTAAAAACAGTTAATGACCCCAAAGCAAGGCTATGGGCATTTACATGCTGGTGTTCCCCTAGTTTGTCCCTGTACTTTTTCCGTAATGAAATGAAACACCGTACCGATTTAGAAATAATCTCAGTCAATATAAAGTCCACAGATATACAGTACTTGCTGTGATGCAAGGCTTTGTGCCCTTGGGAATTGTTACAGAGTACTTGCCTAATGACTCGCCTGCACTTGTAGAATTTTAAAATGATGAATTTTACTGGCTCAACAACTAGCAAAGTAAACAAGGTCAGCAATGCTTGTAATTTGTCATCCATGTTGCATTCACCACTGCTGAGGCGGATTCCATTTGTTTGCTTTCAGAAAAGGGACACATAATATAATGATATGATATAGGGCTGGGCGATATGGCCCAAAACAAATATCACAATATTTTTGTGCTATATATCGGGATACACAATATATATCCCGGTATTTCGTATCTCCTCTAAATCACTATACAAATGTTAAATTCATAAAAGTCCACAGGAACTGAATAAGCTAGCGGATGTTAGCATTTCAGACAGTCCCTAAATGCACCTCGTCAGAAGATATCAGCTGACATTTAGGCTTAAAACATGACCTCGTTTCGAGTGGATTATAAATGTCAGGGCTTGTCTTCTGATCATTGAGCAGCTGTGGATCATAGAGGAAACTCGTGTTTCACTGTTTACACTGTTCTTCAACAAAGTCACTGACCGGCTGCTTCACGTGAACGCGCCTCGCATCTCACGACACACACACAAGCGTTCACTCTCACTGGAGCCGCTCGCGTTAATCATTTGTAAAATGATTCGTTTGGTTCAGCGTTCACATAGAATATGAACAAACTGTCAGTTACCGTCTCTGAACGCTCGTCATCTCACTGGGACTCTTCACCCTCTCTCCCTCCCTCCATGCCCTCTGAGTCTCTTCCCTCTACTGATACAAAAATACGCATGAGCACAGGAGAGTTTCCTGGATGGGCAGGGGAGTGAGCAGTCTGCTGTGAGGGGCATGAGAAGAGAGACAGCGGAACCCTGAGAGAATTTCATGCTGACGGCTTAAAACTTTCAAGTGAAAATGTATGGTCGAGATACAGTCATTTTATACATCGCACCTGGTACAAGCTGCGATACATCAAGTATATTCAATATACCGCCCACTCCTAATATGATATAAAGTAATGTATTGTGATTGGAAAATAGCATCATTTACACTGTTTTAAGCCTAAATGTCTTCTGATATCTTCCGTACAAGGTGCGCCCCCTCTGGCACGCCATCCTGTGGCTACATCGGCTAGCTTCGCTACTTCCGTTAGTGGACATTTAGGCTTATAACACAGTGTAAATGACCTCGATTTGAGTCGAATATGAATGTCGGGGCTTGCAGACACTTGGATGACACCACACAAGCAGTATTTAGGCATTTTATGTGGACTCAAACACTTCACCCACCCCTCTATCAGCATAGCGGAGAGTAGATAATGAGTGAATTTAAATTTTGTGTGAACTATCCCTTTAAGGTCCACTGTGTAAGATTTAGGTGAAAGGGATCTAGAAATTTAATGTAGAATAATCCTCATGATGTTTTCATTAGTTTGTTTCATCTAAATTGTATGAATTATAGTTTTCTTTACCCCAGAAAAGAACCTTTATATTTAAATACTTTATATTTACATCGAGGGGACCCTCTCTACAGAGGCTGCCTTTTTTTTTTTCATTAGTCCAGACTGGACCAACTGAACACCTTTTTAGTTTGAAAGGCTCAAACATGTTATTTTTCATGTTTGGAAGGAGAGGGTGAGGTGAGGGGTGTTCAGCTGCAACATGCAATTTCAACACTAGAAGTCACTAAATTCTACACACTGTACCTTTAAGTTAATTTAAAATCTTAAATCTCCTCTAGTCTGCGGTTCTGTCAAGCTCAGTCTTGGAAGTGGAAAGGTAGAAAGATGCATGAGTGAATAGAACGTGAAGTTCTCAGTTTGGATACGTGCTCCTCTACACATGTACAGTGCTGTACATAGTTTCTTTAACTCCACAGATTGTATCATGATGGCAAATAGTTTGCTTGACAGAGCATGTACTGTAGAAGAGGTGGACTCTCTTTGTAAGGACTACTGTGCACACACATGCAACTGTATTTTTGTTCCAGCATGGCAAGATCTAGTGGGGCATGGTGGCTGACCCAGACAGATGGATGTATTTTCGTTCATATGTATATAAATAGCTGGTGCACAGTGTCTGTGCGTAGTGCAGTGTGAGGTGCTGAGCAGCAGCATTTTGTTGCTGTCTGCCTCTAGAAGGAAATGCCATATGGCCTCTTGGTCTTGGCAGCGTCAGCTAATTACCAGCTACTACTAAACCAGCTGGCCTCTGCCTCGACACTTGGGGCATGATCGAGTTGTTAAAATTTGAACTTTTCCTTATTGTCTATGGTATTACACTGGCCTGTACCCAGAACTGATAAACCGTCACATGTGTCTGTCACGGCCTTATCATTAAGGTGGTTTGCAGAAGATTGAATTGACTAATATAACATGCCACATTATTATTCTATTCACTCTGAGAAAGAATATAACAAAACTCTGTTTGACTTTCTGGTGAATCAAGTGGTTTGAATAATATTACTTCACCAGAAACTAATATTTTATTCAAGCTTGTGTTAGCTTGTACTCCTGATTTGCCATTTTATATTTTAGGTTGTATTATAATCTGTACAGACTCAGAGCATTGTGAGCAAACATAATTGTCTGAATGTCTTTTGGTAACTTAAACATCACAGGACTGAATAAACATGAAACAAATGTAACCATTTTCTTTTTTTCACTCCCTCTTCTCCTCCAGTGGGTATTCCAACGATAAAGTGGTGCGGGGCTGAGGGTGACTACAATGTGATGGTAATGGAGCTGCTGGGGCCCAGTCTGGAAGATCTGTTCAACTTCTGCTCCCGCAAGTTTAGCCTCAAGACAGTCCTGCTGCTGGCCGACCAGATGGTGAGAACCACAGAGGATGAGACAGCAAGAGGGTTGTCTGATGTTATGGTTAATGTGGAGGCTTTTAACAGAATCATCACTCAGACAATAGACCTCATCTTCTGTAACATGCCAGAGGGGTTTTTTTACGTCCTCGCAACATGATACATGATAACGTTGCCAGATGTTAAAGTATTGTACCTGAGGCTTAAAATTGTTGTAATCATTAACAATATGCAAACAATATGGCATTGCTGCATTTACATAACCTGGACAGTAAAACTCTGAGAGGCCTGGTTGAGCTATGCCGTCATTGGCAACCTGCCAAAAGTAGAATATATTCAAACAAATTGGGTGAATTATGTGAAATGGGTTAGAAATGACAGCCCTATTGTAAATCCACCACGCAGCTCTGGATTGATCCAAAATCCCAGAGTTTAGTTCTGCCATCAAATCCTGTCCTGCTCTCCCCTCTAGATCAGCCGCATTGAATACATCCACTCCAAGAACTTCATCCACAGAGATGTGAAGCCAGACAACTTTCTGATGGGGCTCGGTAAGAAGGGCAACCTGGTCTACATCATCGACTTCGGCCTGGCTAAGAAATACCGTGATGCCCGCACGCACCAGCACATCCCGTACCGCGAGAACAAGAACCTGACCGGCACAGCCCGCTACGCATCTATAAACACCCATCTGGGCATTGGTGAGACACATCTGCTGACTTCTGCCATGAATGGATAAATCACTCCAAAGTCTATGAAACCACGATGCGACTCTCCTTGTCTCTCTCCATCTGTCTACAGAACAGTCCAGACGAGACGACTTGGAGTCACTGGGATACGTCCTGATGTACTTCAACCTGGGCTCTCTGCCCTGGCAAGGTCTCAAAGCAGCCACCAAGAGGCAGAAGTATGAACGCATCAGTGAGAAGAAAATGTCCACACCCATTGAGGTCCTCTGCAAAGGCTACCCATGTATGTTTGACTCTTCCTCCCACCTTTCATGAGTCTTTATAGGATTTCTTCTGATCGTAACCCTTCTCAGAAAGCTTTTTAGAGCTTCAGACTTAGTACTGCTTTTGTATCAGGGAGTCAGTGTAGAGTGTTTTCTGCTTTTGAACGTCGTTGTCCTCTTCGTCTCCACAGCGGAGTTTGCCACCTACTTGAACTTCTGCCGTTCCCTGCGGTTCGACGACAAACCAGACTACTCGTATCTCCGCCAGCTCTTCAGAAACCTCTTCCACCGCCAGGGCTTCTCCTACGACTACGTCTTCGACTGGAACATGCTCAAATTTGTAAGTTGTGTTACCACATTGAAGGGATTTGTTTCACTCTGTCTTCTCTGACCTAAATGGATAGTTCACAGAAAAAGGAAAATTCCCTCTTTATCTTCTCACCACCATCAGCATAATGGTGAGTAGATGATGAGGGAATTGTAATTTTCCAGTGAACTATCCCTTGAGGTCACTGATGGGTTTTCGTTTCTATGTAGTTCCCAGCTGACAGTGTTAGTCATGCAGAACAACAGCATTCCTGCTGACGTCTAAAAAAACTGAAATACCACAGTTGACGTATGGTATGAGTGTTGTAAGGCAAAAGATGTGTGTTGGGTGTTACAGATGGGCCTGTCTCAGACTCATAACTCTGTCTCTGATGTGTCAGGGCGCCAACAGGGCTGTGGAGGACGCAGAGAGGGAGCGTCGGGAGCGGGAGGAGAGGCTGAGGCATAGCAGGAACCCCGGGGCTAGGGGCATGGCATCAGCCTCAGGAAGAGCCAGGGCAGCTCAGGACGTCGCAGCCCCCTCCCCACTGAACCCCACCTCACACACAGGTCAGTGCTCACAGACACACACTTTTAACAGGATTAGGGAAAGTAGAAATCAACTGAAAGGTTTTCTATTATATTTATTTGCAGTTGAATGGTGTTTGGTGGATTGACTTCCTCAATGATAATCAGACCCGTTGTACCATTCTGTCTCTCAGGTTTGGAGAAAGAGAGGAAAGTGAGCATGCGTCTTCATCGTGGAGCACCTGTCAACATTTCCTCCTCAGACTTGACGGGGCGCCAGGACACATCCCGTATGTCCACCTCACAGGTAATCGATACACACGCACATGTGCACACACACACACACAAACACCAAGAAAAGAAATTCCAATTTATGAAATCTATGCGAGTGACAAATCAAGTTACATACTCCTCAGCAGGAATGTAAAATATTTGTGCCATATTTGCTAATAAATATTGCCAAATGCAAAAAAGAGGAAATACATATTATCAGAGAACAAAGTATTTAGGATAACTTCGCTTGTACAAAATGTTTGTTCCCTTTTTAAAAAAAAGTCATTTTACAATCGAAAAATTAATCAGAGATAGAAAGTAGCGAAACATCAGTTTTGTAACATCAGAAGAACATCAACGTAACATCAGCGAGACGGACAGATGGGTTTAAGTTCAGCTCCTACCGTCGCACTGGTAGTGTGGATCTGGACATTGGAGCAAAACATCCCAGCAGCACTCTGCTGTTTCATTAGGTTTTCTCTCCTTTTTTTTTCTTGCACCTTCTTGGCTGGAGAAATCTTCTCAGAGGGTCATGAATCCGTTCCCTAGATTTAGATTTATGAAAATGAAAACATTATTATTAGTCTCTCCTATGCACAGAAAGCATTGCAGGCCTGTGCCCTGTCTTTGTGATGGGCCTGCATTCTTGTAGACTGACTGCTCCTCCAGGTGGTCTGAAGGGGAACTACCAGTTGTAAGGAAAAATGGAAACCCGAAATCACATATTCAACAGGACGTGCCTGTAACAGTCGACAGTTCAGACAGAGGAAGCCTGTAAACGAGTTGAATAAAAGTCATCTTTTCTTTTGCCTCTAAATCTCTGCTGCTGTACGCTGTTGATTAGAGCAGGACTTATAAATAATAAAAAACCCTGCTGAATAATTTAGATCATTTGCATGTGTTAATATGCAGGGTCGTTAAAATTACGCGTGTACATATTAACCCAGACAATTTCTGGTATTGTTAAGCAATAAGTTCTTTTCGTTACAATGTCCATTCACAGATATCACAAAATCTCAACAAAGAACAGTCTGTGTGACTTAACTCTGATGGTAGCAATCACTACAAATATGACTCTGATTCTTCTGACACCCAATTCCAGCTGGCAAATCCACTGCTGTCAGTTTTCAGTAGGAAGTGGTTCAAATAAAAACAATCAACAATGAAGGATTCTGCGCATGAATTAAACAAAAAAAACTATTGTTTTATACTGTTACTCTCATTCTTAATAATAATAATTATTGTGTTAGCATTGACAGTAAATCATCCAGGCTGTAGCACTGTGAACGTAATATTTTTCACTTAACACACCCTCCCAATATATTCAAAAAAACATTCAAATATACTCCCTTGTCCCCATGGTTACATGGCATGTCCTCATCTGAGAGGAATACCAGATAACATCATGTCGTCTGTATGCATCCCATCTGTTTTCCATTGGAAACAATCAGTTGATAAAATTAAGTGAGTGTATAAAATTATGAAAACCCCAAAGAGTTGATTTAAAGGTTCAGTGTGTAGAATTTAGTGATATCTAGTGTTGAAGCTGCTTGTTGCAGCTGAACACCCCTCACCTCACCCTCCACTTTCAAACATGAAAAAGAACCTGTGGTAGCTTCAGTTGTCATAAAAACTCAAAAGGTGTTTAGTTTGTCCAGTCTGGATTAATGTAAAAAACATGAGGACCCCGTAGAGAGGACCCCCTCGATGTCAATATAAAGTATTTGGATATAAAGGACTTTTCTGGGGTAAAGAAAACTACAATTCATACAATTTAGATGAAAGTGAAAACATCATGAGGATTATTCTTCATTAAATTTCTGCCAATTGATCCCTTTCACCTAAATCTTACACACTGGACCTTTAATGTTAAAGGAATAGTTTAACATTTTGGGAACTATTCCATTTTGCTTTCTTTTCTACCTGTTTCCAGGGCTGTAGCTTCACATTTAGCACACTGTTGGTTGAACTGTTCCTTTAGGTCATGTGAACCACAGACTTGTTATTGACAGTTGATGACATCATCATCAATAAGCCAACATTTTCCCTCTGTCCTCTCAGGCTCTGTCCCGGGTCACGCCCAGCGGCCTCCAGTCTGCAGCTCCACGGTGAAGTCCGACCATCCACCCATGTACCATGGAGGCCTCAACATGCAGCACACTCACACTCACACACTCACACACTTACACACACACTTACACATACACTGGACTCTTGAATGATGCAGGGGACTACCAAGCAATGCACAAGAGTCTGGCTGCGCTCTTGTTCACTCGACGGAGGAAGAGTCGCACCACCAGGAGTGTGTTTGTGTGTGTGATAGAGAGATGGGCGGGTGGAGAACAGTTTGGTTGCCTTAACAACCTTGGCAAAATAACAGCCGCAGCCTCCCTTCTTCCTCTCTTACGGAAGATGTGGAATCACTCCCCCTCCTTGCCCTCATTGTTGATGAAGCCATCAATTCACTTTTCTCTGGCATCATGTTTGTTTGTTTTTTCTTTTTTTAACTTTGGTTTTACTTATTTTTATTCTTTATCATTAAACTTCCTCTCACACCAGCTCCACTGGTCAGACTTTACAAGGGTTTGAAAATGGAGAAAGACGAGTCTCTTACTTATTGGAAATAGTTTGTGGGACTTTTTGGAATCCAAGATCCAGAAGGCGCATGATCCATCATGGCAGTGTTAAAGCACAGTGCCTAAGCTCTCTTTTGTGTTCCGAAAGACTTTTTAAATACCACAAGTTAACATTTACTTTTCCTTTTTTTAGGTGTTTGAGGTTTAAATTTTAAGGTAGATTAACCCCAACTGTTTTTAAAAAGAGGGAAAAAGCTCCCGTTAATGTTCTATTTTCCAATCTGATCCTAGAGTATGAGTGGTTTTGTCCTCCTCAGGTGCGTTGGAACCAGGATGTTGTATTAAATCTGAACACATGCAGCACATTTTCTTTCAGTCTTCAGGTTGTGACTGCACCGTGCTGCTTGGCAAAGCTGTGAATGGAACAGTGTAATAGTCGGGATGTCGGTCTGTCCACGCTGAATGGATGAGATGTTGTTTTTGTGCATAGTGATGTGGTTTTTGTGTGTTTTTGTGGTTCTGTCTTAGGGTTATACAAGCTCAACGGGGTATGTGTGTATGTATGTGTGTGTGTTTCATATAAATATATATACACACACATACATATATGTATAAAAAATATTGACTTTTCCAATGTAATAATAATTGCTGCAATTTACAGCTTTACAAAAGTAGGACAGAGCATAACATTTGTAATAATCAATTTGCATGATTGTTTTGGAGAATTCATCCGATAAGACGTAACTGCTCTTCAGTACGTTTGCTCAGAATCGGGCGATGTCCGCATTCATTACTTCTAGCCTTATCCTGTTCGAAGTACTTTCATATTGAGTATGTGCCATTACACAATACTTTATGACATGGTTGCACAGTGCACAACTGAACCACAAGAACTTCAGAAAAAGACAGTCAGTTGTGGTGACGTGTCCTCGACAACTGACAAAATTAAAGGCACACTCGTTCAGGATAACAACTCAGCCTGTGAAAACAGTTTTATACTGGAATTGCACTCAGTCGAGCACATACCTCCGCCAAGGACCAACAGTCAATTCTGTCCAGCCGCACCAAATTAGACATCCTCACAAATATCAGTCCACAAGCCATCAAGATCTCTGCTGTGTTCCCTCTGAAAGTGTCAAATTGTCTTACCTCGCAGTGATAAAGTAAGTGGGGAAAACCTCAGATCCACACTTGAATTTTAACGGGTTCTTTCTTGACCCGCCAAGAAAAAAAATGGTCAGTTAAGTGGTTTCTGCACAATCCTGCTGAAAAAACAAACGGACAGGGGCGAAAACCTTCTTGGCGGAGGTACAAATATCTGGTGGTGCTCTGGAATAGAATACCATGCAGTTACATAATAGTGTCAGTATGATCCAGTGTTACTGGAGCTCGAACCGTGTTAGCTTTGGTTACCTCAATTTTGACGATTTGACTATTCTATAAATCTGTTTTTGCAAGACCCACAACACTAGAAAGGGCAATATACAAAATCACTGGAGTGTTTAAAAGATACTGTCCCCCAGATTGAGCTTCAGGGCATTTGCAGTGAGTTGGCATCATTTGGTTGCTCTCTTGGGCACGATGACAAAATACCAGCTTGTAAAATGAATAGTTTCACCAGAATAGTGAAGATATAAGTAGCTGCAACTGTTCCTGTAGTGGTACAAGAATGAAAACCATGCGATCAGGCTTATCCAGTAGAATTCCATTGAAACATCCCTGAATTGGCTCTGATGGTGATTTCTCAGAGCAGTCAACGTGAGAGCCGTGCGCTCTGAGGATCCAGGTAGAAAGAGGGATCAGGTTAAATGGAGGCGAAGAGGTGTTGGAGAGCAGCGGACAGTGTTGTGAGAAAGGAGTTCACGCTCGAGTCCCCAACGGTACAACAACTAAACGTCTCAAGTGGCTCTCCTCATCGTCTCCTATCTCTCTGTCAATAAGATACTTGATTTGAGCAGTCAACCAACCGATGTGACCAATGAATCCTGCAGATTTTTAAGTAGAAAACTCTCGATCCGGTAGAGTAGTTCTAACGTATTTTAGGCCATTTTCTGTAGTTGAAGGGGAATTGGGGTTGTAGTTGCTAATTTGTACTTGTATGTTCTGTTGTCGTGTATAGGATGTGCCTACTCTGTCTACCACGTCCAAATGAGCAACTGTTAGGTTTGGGATGATGATGATGATGACGACGGTGTATGGTGGGACTGGTAATGCTTCACTCCATTAGATTCCTGCTAAGGCAGCTTTTTAAAAATGTACTTCACCTGTGGGCTTGTAAAACAAACCAAAAAAAAAAAAAAGATTAACTTATTTGTCTCACTGATGATGGCTATGATAAATGCAAGTACACTTTACTGGGGATGATAGTTTACTTTGTCAGTCTGCTTTACTCAGTTTCTTATTTTCGTCACCACCTGTGCAATTTGCTTTTAACTGTGCAGTGGAGATGGTTGCTCATGTCCCACAAGGCATCTCTTCACTGTAGATCATTGGGAAATCTTTGTCTTTCCACTCCCACCTTATGAATTTTGCTCCTCACTTGTAATACCACTGTATTTGTGTATTTTAAAATTGTGTAAATAAATTAATAAGTACTTGTATTTGTTGTTTTTATTGACTGACTTTAAATTGAGATTTTTGTGGTCAATATTTTAGTGTCTGTGGGATTTTGGGAGAATTTTGCTTGAGGGTGGTGGGCTACTAGAAGAAAATGAATGACTCCTCCAAAAGGATTTATTCATTGGGGCCCTTACATGGAACGTGTTGCGGGAGAGGGACGACTGGCTGGCTACCTCCACGACCTGATCTCAGATAAGAAAGACAATGGATGGGTTTTATTATGATTTGTCAAGCAGATGTCTTTAACTTATCAAAACACAGCCTGTGTATGAAGAAGTGTATGCTGGGTTCAGGTGAGAGAACGAACACAAGTTGATCACAGAGTTCCACAAGGTTCTGTCAATGGACCGCTACTATTCACATTCTGCCTCCTCCATGCTACATTAAGAAATGTTGAAAAGTCCTGCAGACCACACATTAATCACATTAAACGAATTAGTGAGCTAAACTCAAAGCATGCCATAAGGGCAAGGGTCTGGAGAACCTGTCTGTTTCTGCTTTCATTGCCTTGGAGGCTGAGTTATTTTGGGTCAGAATGTCCTTAAACTCAACATCTTTTCTCAAGATCACTTTAAGATGGATTATTGGACTTTCTTTATCATCATGCTGTCCTTACAAGTCTCCAAATACTCTTTGATAAATCCAAAACACTGCAGGAAGTCAAAAAAGACACATTTGTCCTGTTTCTCTGCATTGGCTCCCTATAACCTCCACAATATACATTTTTTTATTATATTGTTGGAGTCGATGGGATAAAGAAGTCGGGACATTTCTCATTTTCTGCAATTCTCGATGTGCATTTATGTACAAACTTTTTCGATTACAGAGCACTTCCGAGTGTCTGCAAAACATGTCCTTTTAACCCCTCCTGGTGCCCTTGTTACCATGGTAACCCCCACAGCTCCTCACAGGATTAAGTAATAGTGCAAACCCCATAGTGCAGATCAAATACTGTGTAAACCGCAACCACAGTCTTTGGTGAATTCTATCATCTGTGTCCACGACATAGGTCCCCCCAGACCATACTATATACTATACTATTATTTAGAGCTCATGTACCGTATTAACCTAACAGATCACTTCATTGTCAAAAACGTTGCTCTTATAATAATAATATTAATAATAATGCTTATAGTTAGAGCTGCTCAGGTGAGCTCATCCCTTGTCTGTCATGCAATAGGCTGAGACTGCTAGGTGGACCTCCCATGATGCACCGATCACATCGCTCCCTCTCTCCCCATGTATTCATATCTCAGATCCACCCAGAGTCTACCTCTTCTCTGGGTTTCTTCCTGTTAAAGGGAGTATTTCCTGGGGGTTGATGTTGTTTTTGTAAGTAATTTTACAGAAGGGGACAGTTTGTACCTGCTCTTGATGTGTAATGGTCCTCAGACCTTTGTTTCGTTTGTTTATTGACACTAGAAATTAAATGGAGTGGACACAAACACGCGTTCATTGTCCAGGGACAATGTGGGCTGTTGACATCAGTGAATGCTCCACAGCAACAGCGCCCCACTTTTTTTATTCTCTGATTATTAACACTCTGTCAGTCTGAGCATAACAGGAAGAGAGTCGCGGTAAGGCAACGCCTCTGATCACGCAGATGCTCCTCACACTTACAGCATAGACTGGGTGCTGAGCAGAAAAGGGAAATAGTAAAACAATGATGCTTCTTCTTCATTATTCACCATTGCTGTCTGATCATAGAAGAGGAAAATCATTTTCCGAAGCTTGGATCTGAGTTTTATACTTAATGTCAGTAAACCAGCAGGTCACAGGAGGATGCCTGGAGGAGTTGGGTGGAGCTGATAATGGTTGAACATATCTCGCTGTTAAAAACTGTCTATTACTCACTGAATCTCAAATGTTATATTATTTATTACTTACATCAAAACGATTTTTATTTTAATAAGACTCTGGCAGAGCTTTTTAAAAAAATGACCCTGTCACAATCTATGAAATCTAAAATCCTCTAACATACCACAAACAAACCTTTGGTTCTACTCATCATATCTGCTATCAGTATTGTAAAGTCCAGCAACTAAAATACCCAACACATTTTCCTGTCTATCTCCAATTTTTCCAACTGCCAACGAAAGGCAAGTTTCTTTCCACACTGAGTCACCTCTCCTCAAAACACCGGACAACGAGGCCTCTGTGAGTTCCAGAAAATGAAAAGGTCACATAACCTCCCAGCCCGACCTTTCTTTTTTTATCCACAGCTGCCTACAGCTATGAGTGCTCAAGGTGTCCCATTGGATATCTTCTAAATCCCTTGTATCAGAGCTAAAAATGTTGAACCTCTTTTAATTGATAATGGAATGTACTTAGAAAACCCTTCTGTCTGAAAGTTTTCAGGAGGGGGTCCTCTCTGTGGAGGCCGCCATGTTTTTTTACAATAGTTCAAACTGGACAAACTAAAACCTTTTGAGTTTTTATGACAACTGAAGCAACCACAAGTTCTCTGTCATGTTGCGAAGGGGAAGGTGAGGGGTATTCAGCTACAACATGCAACTTCGACACTAGATGTCACTAAATTCTACACACTGAACCTTTAAACTTAAACAAGTATTCTGTGGGGTATTTGTGTATATTGTGCATATCTCGGATAATGGCAGAAATCTTAGCTAAATGTTTCTGTGAGCTCTATGTCAGAGAACCATGATACCTGGTCACAGGGAGTAGGGGGTCTCAGGGGGTGAACTTTTTTTGGGGTGACATTGTTTTATATCCACGTCTCTGCAGGTTTTTGCTTGAGACTACATTTTTAGAAGAAAGCCAACATAACATGTTGTATGGAGTTTGAAAGACCTTGACATTATGTCTTTATGAAAGACATTCACTGCATTGGACTTTAACCAACACTAATCAACGTAAAGAACAGGGGTTGAGTCATCAGTGAACTCATGCCAATAGGCACGGTCAGCTGCTCTGTGTACTTTTTTCAAGTGTTAACCTCAGACTAGGACAAGGACAAGCTGGGACGTGGCAGAACACAGCAACACTGAACCCGCTACACCCTGGATATGATATTTGTACCACGTGGTTGGCTGAACCCTGTGATGGAGTCAGGAGGAATTAGAGTTTAAATTTGCGGCAGGTTTGAAGAGACGATCAGTTGATGAAGTACACACACACACAACCTCACGCAGGTGTATTCATCTCAATAATCAAAGCTTCGTTCAATTTCTGTACACAGCATGTATAAAGATGTATTCAGTTCAGTAAACCCTTCAAACTTATATAAAAGCCACACACGTGAACAGTGATAAAGAAAATTCAGAATCATGTCATGGAAAAACTTTGATAAAATCTTCATCGCAGATAAACCAGGTAAATTGAGCACAAAGTTTTCTAACTTCACTCTGCACCATAGAGCTCAGTGACAGTATGTTTTAAAAACCTTTAGAGAAGGACTCACGAATGAGAAGGGACATTTCTGAAGTAGCTACGCAGTATTATCACACACCAAGAGAACAGCCCATTCCAAAATGGCTGTTACACATGGTGCAGGAGTAGAACCCAAATGAACGACTCAGAACGGGGACTCACGGTTCCGTTCACTGTTTAATGATGACTTTAAAGTCTTAGATCTGGGAGTGGTGTAGACACAAGGAAGTCTCGGGGGTCGTCTTCGTGCGTGGCGGAGCATAGACAAACGTTTACAGCAATCGGACAGCGGGTGTAGCAGACAGACAGAGAGGCAGGAAGCAGGAAGTAGGCAGGAGCTAGGCAGGCAGGCAAGTTCAAACCTGAGTACAGGCAGAGAAACTGTTCAGCAGATCGAAAATCACACTGAACGAATGTAATATGAAGTTAATACTTGGTGAATACTGGTGGTAGGACTGTATAATCTGTGAAGATTAGAGAGAAGACAAGAAAAACAGAAAAACTTCTTTTTATTTGTTGAAAAAAACAATAAACTTCAACTAATAAACAAAAGAATGAGAACATAAAGATGAATACATTTGAAACTGTTTTCTTTTGGTTGTTATGTGATGATGCACTTTAGCAAAGGTCGCTGTTCTTTGCTTGTCTTTTATCAAAGA